CAGGGCATTCAGGGCTTGAGCATCCTTCCCACAACAGGAACCCAACAAGCGTTTTGAACAACTAGGAGCCGCGAATCCTGAGCCTCGAAACGACTTCGTCACCAACCCCGTGTCAACAGGTTTCGGAGTTTAGGGTCTAGGGCTCAAGTTTTGGGATCTTTGCGCTGACTGTTTCTTTTCAATCTTGAAGCCGGCAAGACGGCAACAGAAGCCTTCCTGGAGCATAGTCAACATGCCGTTTGATGTTTCCAGTGCGTGCATAGCTGTGAGTGAACGATTATATTCAGCCTCTGTTTTCATGTATGGATCTGCGTTCACAGAATCTTGCATTTACCTGTCATGGGCTGACGTGCCTACGTAGGTTTCAGCATGTTTCAGCGAAGCTGAATGAAGAATCGGGTCGTAAAGGCTGAACCTTCTCCAATTAATTATTGGCGGGAGCGCATCCCTAAAATCCAAACATGAATCCGTGGTCCATGCAACTTGTCGAACTACGAAAGCCCAAATTCCTTGGACCTTACACCTCACACCCCTAAACCCTGAAGCAAGTCCTAACCAGACATAAACCCGACACGGAGACGGATGCTCACAGGAATACGAGCCTGAAGGGCGCGCGGCTGAACTCCGCCACATGGTCCCTGGCATCGCCGTCACTTGCACGCAGAAGCTTTTGAAGCTCCCTGATGGGGTGACTCTGACGCCTATATCATTCTTCTTGGACTCTTTGGAGTAGAAGGGGTTTGGCACGATGAGTTACGGGGATTCCTAGCGTGTTCGAAGTAGACTGGTCATGTATAGTAAAGCTTAAAAAGGAGCTACTATATGTACGTACAGGGGATGATTCGGAGCCTTAAGGAGAAGTCCGAAGCGTTACTCCTGCCAAAGCAGCCACCACTCTCCTCTCCATGCCTAGGATGTCCATCGGTTCGACCCTACACCCGAAAACCGGTTTAGATCTCAGGTTTAGATTTAAAATCCCTTTCTAAGTTTTTCAATGGGTTATGGCAGGGCTCCCACATCGTTGTTAGCCCTTGTAGTTTTGCAGCAGGCTCGTGAGAGTACCCCGGTGGTCGTGATTCGTCATTAAGAGGTCACCCCACCCAACAGGGTCTTCAGGATTTGGGGTGGGGATCTGGGAGGTTAAGGGCTTATAGACTTTAGGGTTTAGGGATTTGGAGGTTTAGATGTTCAGGGTCGGGGTTAGGGTCCCTTGATGAAGATACCTGCCAGAGCATACGCTTGTTGTCCTGAACCCCTGTCCCAAAGAATTTCCTAAACCGTGGACCCCCCAAACAACCTCCTAAGCCGTAAGCCACCGATAATTCCAAGGCCTTGGATCACCTCAACGAAATTCTGGAACGGTCTCTCTTACTCTCATTCACCCCTTTCTCTCTATCCCTCATCTCTCTCTCTCCCTCTCTAAATTTGTAAGAGTATGTGTGTAATTATGTATATATGCTGTATGTGTTTGTGTCCGCTGTCTGCAGGTTGGAGCTCGAGGATTGGGACTCCGGGCGGAACTTCCTTCAGAAGCAGGCGGCGCTTCACAGCACCTCAATTATACTGTCTGTGTGTATGTAGACATGTGCATACACATGTACCTGCATCTGAATGTGGTCATGTCTGTCTTTCTGTCTATCTGTCTATCTATCTGTCTATCTATCCATGCATCCATCGATCTATTCGCATCTGCCTAGCTATCCATCTGGTCGAATCTAACCGGCCCGGCTCTCCGGTGTGTAGGGTATACAGGTCATACTCAGCTTCGAACTGCTTAGGTTCCGCCATCAGTCTCAACAAAATAGAAGGGAGCGAGCCCCAGTGTAGCTACAGAGTGGAATTCTCAAGAGTCCTAGTTTTTCGAAGCACCACTAGAGCCCAGGAAAGGTTCGGGTAGGGGAGCCCCAGATTTGGACACAACTTCCAACCGACCCTCACCCTAGATCTCAAGCAGCACCAACCGTAAGTTCCCAAGCCGAGAACACTTAACCCTAAAAAGGGCCAGATCCTTTAACCCTGGACCCTAAACCCCTGAAGCCAAAACCGTGCCAGATCGCTTCTCAACTACCAGCCACGGCGCCGGAAGATTGTTTCGAAGCCCAGTGCTTCCCTGGCTGCAGCAAAGAAGGGAACAGAAAGGGGAGTGATGGATCTTCACGTAGGAGTTAACAAGAATTCATAGGGGGCCCACTGTTCGTTTGGGTTTTCGGGTTCAGGATTGGAGTGGTGGGGAGAGAGCTGTCACTTTTTAGGGGGTAGTTAGGGCATGTGGCGATGGAGGTTCAGGGTACATTTTGCTAGCTTTGCAGTGTTTCCGAATGTGCAACTAGTGCTGTGGTCCCACCATTGAAAGTTGAGGATTTGGCACTAGAGACTCGCAGATGTCTCCCATTGCCACCGAGATCCCGTCAGCATCCAAGACAAGATTCCTGAACCCGAAGCCGTGAAGCGTCGCAAGCACAGAAGCCCCTCAGATCATGACCTGGGCTTCTTCAAAGTCGTAGCCGCTTTGTTGCTTTACCCCTCCGAACACGCTAAGCCTTACATCCGTGAACCTTAGTTGAGACTTGAAATCTAACTGCTCGTGCCTGAACCCTACAAACCCTAAGCCTAGACACCCCAAAGAAAACATCGAAAACCTGTAGGCTTTCTTCTGCCGAGGCTACTGCGGCTCGGCTCGCTGCAACAGAACCAACCGCTGGCTTCGCCTAGGCACCATTTTTGCACACTCGCAGTAATTGGATCTTAGGGTCTGGATCTCGGGGGTCTCGGGTTTGGGGGGGAGCTTGGCTCTTTTCGGTCTAGAGTTTACCCGGGGGGATTGGGGCAGGTCTCGTGATCTGGCGGATCTAGGCTTTCTTCCATTGACGATGCTTGAGGAGTGTTGGAGGCCTTGGCCGAGTGAGGGTTTGGGGCTTTGTCTGTCGCTCGCAAAGAGAAGTTGCAGACGGTTGTTTGTTTTGGGGGGAGTGAGGACAATGCATCGCTTTTCCTGCTTGAAGGATTTGGGGATTTAGTTATTTTGTAAGGTTATCGGCAGGGCTACAAGTACCCTTGTTGGGGTTGCTGTAGATCTAGCCCGACTTATACCCTACGTACTACGTCCCCTGACTGCTGAAGCAAGGCCTCAGCTCTACCGATATCTTCGACGTTGAGCATTTCATAGGACTCGTCGTGGATGTAGGCGCCTGAAGGCTGAAGGGTTGAAGGGAACACGGAACTTGTGGTCCCATATATAGCCCTGACAGTTTTCTAGCTCGAAATTCAGGTGCTTTAAACCTCAAGCCTCTTTCCCTATAATTACCCCAAAAGCAGGCTCAGGAGTTCTGGAGCGTTCTAGGACTTGGGGTCCGGCTCTTCGGAGTTTCGGCTTAAGGTCTACAGAGGCATGGAGTGCAAATTATGTGGATTCGCGCCTCATTTCCTTCCATGTCTTTTTTGTGCTCCTCTGTCGACCAGCCCGCTTACAAAGCCACTCGAACCCCAACACCCTGCGGAGTTTTTGTCGTCTCTGACGAGGACGCCTGTCGGCACCGGGCAGCAACGCCAGCAGCGACCCAGGGGCTGGCGGCAGCAATGCGACCGAGACGATGGCCCGGCAGCTCAGGGTTCCGGGTTTGAGGCTTCGGCCTTGATGTTCTGATCTGTAACAGAATATATAGATGTGGTATACTCGAATATGTTGGTTTCGGGCGGATCGTCAGGGGTTACTTGGGGTTTCGGGTTTAGCATAGCCTTGCTGAGAGGGTTGGTTTTCAGTCTGGCAGAAGACCGTAAACTTTCGATGGGATTGAAAGGATATCTCTTTTGGTTCTGGGGGCTTGTCGGAAAGCGAGAGGAAGGAGTGTTTTACTCGTAGAGGTCATTGAGTCAATGGCTTAAAATTTGCTCCGAATCGAGATCCGTAAGGTCCCAAAGCATTCATCCTTGACCAGAACCCTGTCTTAAACCCTCCTCGAGACATCCTGGAACCCGCAACAGGGGACCCATATCGAGTATTTTCCATCTAAACGGAGATGTATGGGGTGCCGTGTTACTTTCAAGGAATTAGGGTCGGGATTGGGGTTCAGGTTGTAGGATGGGGTTCCAGCCCAACCCCAACCCGCAGCAACGTCACGACTGACAGTCCATATGGATTCTTGTCAGGAAGTGGTCGTCGTGTGGGGCGACAAGGCTCCTGCTTTCATGTTCGGGCTCCGGAAGTTTTGCTGTTGAGTTCAGTGCCTGTGGGGCTTCTAAGGTATCGGGCTTCAGTGGGGCAGTTCGGAGCAGCCAGACGCTGACGTTACGGCTGCAAGTTGTCGGGGCTTAGGCTTGGGAGCTTCCTGATGTTCACGCCTTGTAGAGTTCGAGGCCTGGGCCTAAGTTGTAAAGACAGAGCTGTGATTAAGATTAAGCCTTTAGGTGTCCATTCGGACTTTGGATTTGATGGCGCCGACCCGAATCAAAGAGTTTTGGGAATTCAACCCAGCCAGACTATGCTCCCATCCCGAACCCGAAGCCCTGGGCCTTACTATTCAATCCAAAGTCGTCAAGGTCCAGATTCTGCTAGAGCCTGCACGCGGAGCTAACAGGGAAAGGAAGAGAAACGCGTTTGGAGTTGAAGCTTCCCTATATCAAAAGCACGAACACGTTTAGTTCAATGCAAGGCCCTCACCCCCCATGTCTTCAAAGAGACATTCAAAGCCATACAGAGCTTGAGGCCTCGAGCTTCAGGTTGGGGGCTTAAGAGGCTTCAAGGCGGAGATCTTACGGTTTGCGCCTTAGGGCTTAGGGTTCAGGATTTAGGGTAGGGTGCGGGTTGGGTTCTGCAACCAAGACTTCCAGCCTCAAACCTAAATGCCGAAGCTCAAAAGCTCGGCCCTACGCCCTCCATCAGCCCAAGCTCCTAACCTCCGAGCGCTCAACGCGACACAGCCGTCTCTGCTGTCATGGGCCGGGGCCGAAGGAAGTTTTTTTAATTCTTGAGAAGTAGCCCTCGTTTTCGAGAAGCCGGCGCCATGATCGATTATCGACACGGGTCCTGGGGCATGAAGGCCCGGCATACCTCGACAAGTGGAGATGGTTTACCTGTTCCAGGGACAGATCTAAAGAATCTAAAGTGGGAGCAACCGCTCGAGATTCTAGAGGGACTCAACTTCCGTCGTTTCTGGGAAGCAGACTTCGTGCTTCACTAGGCTCCCAGCTGGCATCAGAAGGGGGCCAGATTGGGCTTTGAAGCGACCCAGGTGAATGAAGCGCTTGCAGCCCAGCTTAGACCCTGAGGTGCCGAACCCTCAGGCAACAACGGCCCGGCCCTGTTTCTTTAAACATGGGGGTTCTTTAGAACCAGGAGTTTCTTCAGGTCCGGTCCCCTTCGCTAAGCCCTGATGCTTGAAACCCCAGCGGCGGTCCCAGGCCTTCAAGCCGTAAACCCTGAAGAAAGCGTTTGACGAAGCCCTTAGCGACCATGAAATAATTGAAAGCCTGCAGTCAAAAAGCGAAGCGGACGACAAAAGGACCGCTTAGTTTCACAGATAGAAGTTGATAGAAGCCCGCAGAGCAGATGAGATGACAAGGTGACAAAGAACAAGAAGGGGAGATAAGAAAACGCAAAAGACACAGCGACATGCGTCGGCACTGTCCTACAAACTTTTTTGAAAGACATTGCTCCTCAAAACACCACGCACAACCCGAGGACCGACCGCAGAACCCTAGGAATGCCTGTCGGAGGTGCTATGTCTCTCGCGGGGCTCCGTGATCCCGAAGGCAATCTGCTGGTCATTGCCTTGCGCCGCGGCGACGGTGCTGCTCCATATCTACTGGGGCGTATTGAAAGGCCACAGAGTCCAGGGTTTAGCCCTTTCGTCTGCAGGACACTGTAGGGCGCTGTAGGGCACTGTAGGTTCAGGACAGATGCGTTGCAGGATTGACAAGGTTTGTTATGATTCAAATCTGGAGGAGGTAGTATGTTGGCTTCGGATCTTATTGCATTTTTGAGGTCTGCGGCTGCAGGGCTTCTAAGATGTTAGGATTTAGGGGTTCTGGCTTAGAGATTGATTTAGGACGCTGCAGCCCCACTGGGCTTAGGTTGCTGAGTCAGCCCTGGGTTTGGGGCTTAGGGCTTAGGGTTGAGATGTTGTCTTCGGCTTTAGGCTTTCGCTTGGGGCTTGGGGCTTTGGCTTTACGTGGGTTTTGTGTGTCTCGGCTTTGTCTTAGATTTTAGGATTTGCTCTGTATGTGTGTTTGATGGGTTTAGGCTTTAGCTTAGGGCTGAGGGTTTTGGTCTTGCCCAGGGTAGGCTTTGTCTTCTAGATTTTGGTTTAGGCCCTACGGTGTCTAGGGCTTGGGTTTTAGGGCTTTACTTTGCGCTGTAGGGCTCAGGGCTAGGCCAGGGCTAGACCTCTGGTCAGGTGACGAGAATCAGGAGCTGGAAGGAGCGCGGGGATACAGCTGATGAAGAGCCAGACACCCAAAAACTGCAACGGTTTTGTATAAGAATAAGCTTAGCATTTTGAGGCCCGCAAGGGCTTAAGATTGCATTGTGTCGTGTCCTTAGGAGTACAGTAGTAATACAGTAGCTATTTAGCCGTGCATGAGCAGTGGTCCAGTAGGACAGTCAGCCGGTAGTACAGTAGGTACGTTCAGGGGGAGCTAGAGCTGTTTAGGGTAGTCTATGGTTTGGGCTTTTTCTCGGGTGATCAGGGTCAAGGCGGGGTTTAGGGAGGTTTGGGAGGGTGTAGGCAGTTGGGGGGTTTAGGAGGGTTAGGGGAGTTCCTATCCCCCTGAAACCTCGATCACTTTGAGGACTACTTCTTCCTCCCCCGACGACACCCCAAGAAGCATCATCTCCTAGAGCACGGGCGCAGCAAAGAGGGTCACACTGTTAACCTGAGTGCAACACTAGGTCCGGCATGCTGTTGCTGATGGAGTCCAGGGCATATGAGGCCCTGATTGTGACTCTCAGCCCAAAATCTGGAAGCCTGGGCCCTAAGATCGTCATGATCATTCGTGCTCAGCTACACTGAAACAGAAGCGTCGGATTCGGGCCGAGAGAGTGTCGTATTCTGAGTGCTGTTTTCGTCAAGCCGCACAAGGGGGACAAGTTTCAATAGGGACTCTAGCAAACATGATCCCTGAACCGATCTGCCCAAGCTCTGCTTGAATTGAAATCTGAGGGTTGGAGTTCCGGACCGAAGGGACAAAGTTGGTTCAACCCGCCCAACCTCGAACCCGGCGCAACTGAATCTGTAGACTAGGCTTTAAGGCTGTTTGGCTTGAGCTCAGTTAGGAACTTAAACTGTTCAGACCTGATCTTCAGCCTTACACACAACTTCAACTCCCTTAAACTTGTGCCGCGACTTGGCCAACTTCGGAACCTCAAACCGCAAAACTTAAACCCTGAATGCTAAACCCAATGTAATGTCCGCATATCAAAGCCTACCAGGACTTGGCCAGATTTGGTCCAGCTTTACCTTCGTTTTCGGCTTCCTCATCGTGTTCCGCAGTTTGGCGGGACCAGGAAACAGATCGCAGACCCTTATCCCCAAACGCCCTCGGATTAGAGATGTGAAAACCGAGTAATCGCATGCCCTTAGACTACCTCTACCAACTAGGCCAATATCTACACCCGTCCCCAAGAAAAATAGCGGAAAGCCTATCCCCAGTCTAATTACAAGGGCCCAAGGCCCTTCCCTGTGTTCATGTTGTTCGGTTTCAAGCTTTTTCGGCATTTCAGGCACGAGCAAATCATGCAGACTCAGATTTGTTAACGGCGGCATGTAAACCTGCGGCTTCCCCTTCGGAGTGCCCTAACCCCAAGCACTGCGGCCTCAAGAACCAGAGAAGATATGCGGGATCTTTTGGGACAGTATAAGAGTGGCTGACTTGCTCTCTGGGGCATGCAAAAAGACCCTGACTTTGCGAACCGGCGACCTACTTATTTTCTATCGGATCGCCTGTGCAAGAAATGCATAGTGTCGACTGCTTTTGATCTCCAGGCCCCAAGTTAAGACTCAGACCCGTGGATTTGTGGGGCTTGAATGTCAACTGCGCTGAGGTAGCAACCAAGCTTACTCGCGCTTCTGGGAAAGCGCCCCGCGGATAGCAGGAGCTTTTTCCAATTCCTTGAAGGACCAGATAGAGCCCCGTACTGTTAACGGGTCAGCTGATCCTTCCATAGGAGGTTGCCCGGAGTGAATGGGATCCGGAATCGCAGGGTTCCAAACCGCCAAACCCTGACGCAGAAAACCTCGAATCCCTGAAGCCCAAAAGTTCTACTAAGGGCCAATGCCCTAGCCTCTTGCGCCCAACTCCCTGAGCCATATATTGCTCAAACATCTTCCATCTTTGTACAGAACCCAGGAGCCCCACTGACGGTTTAGGGCTTAGGATCAGAACTTCTCGGACCTTGGACACAGCTATGGGTCCAATCTTCTGCACTAGGACTTCATGGCCGTGGCCGTAAGGTTTGACCCTCACCAAAAACCATCTCTCTGCCTCAGTCACATACTGCATACTGCTCAGCATCTTGCAGCCCTTAGCAAGATTGTATCGAACTGCAAACGCCGTGCAAAGGCTGCTGAAGCCTCTGTCACCGTAGAGTCTCCTAACGGTCTGTGCAGCCGCAGAAGGCTTGCGAAAGCAACGCATCACATGTACTTGGAGCACCCCGAACCTTAAGCCCCAAGCACTGAATATATAATTAGAGGCCCAAATGTGCAACTCTGAAGTTTCACCTTCGCCCCCCCTAACCTGCAAACCCCCAAGCCCTCACATGTCTATCCCCCCAAATTGTGAAGCCCACACGGTTTTACACATTGCCTAGGCCTTAAAACCGCTGGAACCGATATGATTGCCAGCGAAGGTGACTTTGTTTCATCAAACCAGCGGGGAATGGATGAGTGCATTTAGCCTCCTGGCCAAAACCCTGGCTGTTTTGCCCTAGTGCATTGGGCTCTTTGGTTTTGGATTATCGGCATTTGGGTTTCGGGTTTAGTCTTCAGGGCTTGGGGTGCAGGATTTGGGTTCCGTACTGGTTTCGATAATCAAAGCTTTGGGCCTAAGGTACAGGATTTAGGATTAGGATTCGGCTTTTCGGGTTGACCTTCGTCTTCTGTGAACTTCCTGTCATGTTCGCAGAATCTCTGCTCTTGGAAGTTGCCTGGCCTCTTTGTGGTTTCGGGTGCATGGCTTCAGTCGTGTCGTGTGTCGCTCAGCCTGGCGAGGTTTTGCCACCTTGCTATGTCTGTCCGATTGACTCGGCACCCATGATCTGGCGTTTGAATGCACAGACCAACAGAGTTTTCGCTGGCTGCACTAATTCTACCAGCAACAGTTGCACGGGCAAGCTTTGGTTGAGATGTTCTTTCGCGCAGAAGATTTCAGTGTCCCGGCCTCCGCCTGAGCTTGGAAACAATGCGATGGGTGCCACAGTGGTGGCCAGTGGCAGTGTGAGTGCGACTGGACTGCCCGACCCTGTGATTGCGACTGGACTGGCAGTCCCTGCACCTACAACACCGCCGCCCCGAGATCTTCGAGGACGCTCCCAGCCCGCACCCACTCGAAACAATCTTGGTGCGAGACGAGCAGCCGACGGTGAACCAGCAGCAGATTTTGGAAGACTACCCGAAGCAAGTGTTGGCTTTGCTGGCTTGGTTTCCCAGGAGCACTATTCAGAAGTTGTGTCCAGGACCAGGTGTTGCGAGACATGCGTGTCAAGCTGCAGCAAGCAAAGGAAGTATGGCGTGGGAATGCCCGGAGGGTGTCTACTGGCGACATCTTTGTCCGACATCATTGTCCGCATTTTGCAGCAGGAAGATCGTCGCCGTGTCCATGCTGGCTTGCAGGTGTCGGCAGCACCGCCGGCCCTTTCCTCTCCCGCGACCCCTGCTGAGTTGATGAGGATGCTTTCATCTGACCGAGTTCTTGGCTGAGCGCTACTTGCCCCATACGAGTCCATGCTTTACACTGTACAGCATGGACTCGTATGGGGCCAAGTTACTCCAGGGTGCTTGACATTTCTCCTTGCCAGCACGCATGCTGCAGCGGCTGGCACCAGCAAAGCACGTACAGTGCAGTGCAGACTTGTAAGCAAGGCCCTGCATGACTTGTAGTGCATAGTTGTAAGCAAGGCCCTGCATGATTTGTACCGCACTGACTGCGAAACCTTTGGCTTTGCCGGGCCTGCAGTCATGACTCGCAAACTCTGTAGACTTAGTTTACGGACCTTGCGAGACAAGCCCCAATTGAACAAATCTTCGTAGTGCTTGAGGGACTATATGAGGGTTCGGATAGTCTGCAGAAGATGTTTTGAAGGGGTTTGATGCTTGGGGACTTTGGTCGGTGGCTGATGGTTTTACGGCATAGAATAAAGCCGTCTTGTGAGACCCACTTCTGGTGCTTTCTGTTTCGCTTTGAGCTCGGTCAGAGCAATCGCTCATTGGCGCGGGTATTCCAAGTTACGGTCTCTTCGGGGACTTCTAACCAGCATCATGAGGGTACCCCTATCAATTAAGGGGCTACTGGGCTTATGAATTATACCATGAAGGAGTCCAATACCTTTTTCTAATCATGAGGACTTCGGTTTCGCTCCATGGGGCTGGCATCGAACTGATGGCCTGGGGCTCGAGGCAAGATTGTAAAAACCCTATGAGCCTCATGCTCGTCAGCCCTGAACCTCTTTAGAATCCCCCAGCCCCGAGCCCGGGCAAACTCCCTGGTTGAGGAGTTACCAACATTGGCTTCTTAGGGTTCATTTTTGTATCTTAATCTACAATATGCACCGAAACCCATGTTGTGCTTTAAATAGAGTAGGAGCCTGATTTGGTTAACCTCCAGGCTTTGACATGGCCCTGTAGATCTAGAAGCACGGGTACACGAACCGAGTTCCTTCACACTCACCTTTATTTCATGCTAAACCCTATACCCCAAGCTCTACATCCTAAACCCAGAAGCGCCAAGCTCTTCGCCCAGCCGTCCTAGGCCCGTAAGCCCAGCACCCACAAGCTTGAGGCGCCGAACCCAAACGCCCCCAGTCCCTAAACCCGAAAGCCCTGAATGAAACCCTAAAGCTCTGGCACCTTAAACCCTCACCAGGCAACCTGCTGGCATTTTGCAACACAAAACCCGAGAAATCTGCTGCTCTGCTCGAAGATCGCGTCGGGCTTGGCACCCCTTCGGGATGAAGGGCTGTTGGGATAAGGTTTGGGAAGGGTAAGAGATTTGGGCAGGGGTTTGGGATTTGTTCAGGGTTCCTGGTGCAGGGTTCATTGATGAAGGGAGCCCGATCCACGTGGGTTTGGGTGGCTTCGGGGCATGGGGCATAGGGAAGACATGCCAGGGGTGTTCACCCTGTGAATGGGGTGTATGTCGGATTGCTGGAAAGGTAGCGAACCCCATTTTCGCCAAGGGTTGTAAGAAGCCCGAGAGACCCAAGAAACACAACAGCAAGGAAAGGCAACCAATTGAACAACGCTCGCTCAGGAGGAGGTGGCTCAGTTTCGCTTCGCACTGATGAGGCGACTCTGCACACCAATCGTGTAGCTGATTCATTGGGTAATGTCGGGTTTTTTTCTGAGATCTTGTCGAGCTTTGTTTATGTGGCAAACCAAACTAAGTGATCCTTGGGCTGTAGAACTCGCTATTTTCATCCCGAGCTGCCTAACCCACTGGAACGGTGACTGCTCACATGCAATCAACCGAGAGGCGAGGGTGGGGCTCTGTATTTGGTGACCTTCGTTTCAATTCAAAGGTTCAAGGCTGCTCCCGCAGTCGTGGCCATTGCTGGGTTAGATGCAGGAGTTTTCGCCCCGAAGCCTCCATGCGGCTCGTTCACCTTTTCGGCATCTGCTAGCCGTTTGGCTGGGCCACATGAACTACAAAAGCAGCCCACTAACTTGAGACTTTTCTAAACCCTATAAACCTGATGCCATGAATCCAAATACCGAAACTCGCCCTGCATCCCATAATCCTAGAGTCGCAGGCCATACATCGTAAGCCGCATACCCTGAAGATCGAGTGCACCAAGCCCATCTCCTCGTGAAGAGAAGAGCCCTTTCTTAAGTCTCGAAGCCCCACACCGAGACTCAAACAAGTCCTCAAGGCCCTCACGCCAGAAAAGCGCTTATACAGCGTATAGCATCGTCGCAGGCTCTTTAGCCTCCTCCACTGCAATGCGCTGCAGAACACTTCAGACCTCGCCGACGACAGCCTTGAAATCTTGGATGTGTCTCGGCCTTTCATTCTTAGTTTTGGAAGGTGGCGGGGGGTTGGGGTTTGTGTTTTTGGGAGTCTGGGCGCGAGGAGGGTTCGACCTCAACTTGACAGCTCCCGCAGCTGCTAACGCCCTTTCTTGCCCCGCTGTCATCCCTCTTCAACGCAGGCAGCACGCATAACGCCCTGGAACCCAAGACTCCATAGCCCAATGCCGGCAGCTCGGGTCTGAACTCACTATCACAACACCCTACCCCCTGAAGCCCTAAACCCTAAACCTCAACGCCGTAAATCCTAAACCTCCAACTCTATGGCCCTAAACCCAAGCTTCTCGCAGTCGAAAAAGTTATACATTCCGACCTTGATTCTACCGGTTTCGTGCGGTATTGTAGGTAGCGCAGCACAGGATACAGCCAAACCCTGAACACGCCAGTTAAAGGCCATACTTCCTAGATTGATATGCCGTGCTGTGCCTTAGAGCGCCGTATGCATCCCACTTGCAGCCATAGGTCGGCGGCTTCAGCAAGCGGAGCTTGCTACACCTGAAGAACAGCCCAGATAGGTGGCTGTCTTACTTTGTTCAGCGCTTCTGCTTGAAGGTTGATCGGGGTAGAGCATTTCAGAAAGTTTTGGTTCCGGGCCTGTGATCCTACCAATCATCATCATCATCACCATCCTCATCATCGCCGGCATTATCATCCTCCTCCTCATCATCATCGTCACCATCCTCATCATCGCCGGCATTATCATCCTTATCTTCATCAGCATCATCATCATAATCATCATAATCATCATCATCATCATCATCACCAGCAGCATCATTATCAGCATCAACATCGGCATCGGCATCAGCATCATCAGATCCCACCGCACATCTGAGCGCTGATGTATCGAAAGGCTGCGGCGCTGCAGCTGTGGATGCAGAGAACAATCCAAAACCCCAAGCCCTACACCCTGTTGTCGTATCCGTTGAGTAGCCCCTGAAGAGGCCTTTGCGAAGTCACGGAAGCATTGCTACTTCGCATCTAGCACACCAGCAATGTCCAGGGCAAGAGAGACAACAACAAAGTCACTCGCGAAAGCTGAACCCTAAACCCACAGTCAGAAGCTCAGAAACTCCAACCTCCAGGCCCTGCGCCCTGAAATCGCCCAAATCCTGTTAAGAGCACATTGCACACCTGATTGATTATCAGAAAATTCTCGAAAGACCGTCAAAGTCTCAAGCCCAGACAGGACGGAGACGGTCCTATTGTGGATTGAGCGACTCATCTTGGATGCAGATCGGGACAAGACGCTAGCAGCTCGGACGAGAGAAACCCTCGAAGATTTGCTTTCCTTTTGGGTTCTGTCTTGGGCCTTCAGAAATCCATTTCCTAAGCCCAGAGGAGCTGTGAACCCGAATCTGTACGGGCTTCATATTGAAACCCTACGAAGCAGGTTTTCGACCGGATGCCAGTAGCTCGAAATGATAGAGACCCTGCACTCCCTGAATTTCAGCTTCGGCTTAACCTCAGGGTCTTTTTTCAAGCGTTCCATCCCGGTTCACGGTTGAGGGGTCCGCCGTAAACCCCTATTCTGAACGCTACTTTCCAGATGCTGCGAGTGTGTCAAATCCTGGTTTAAGGGTTAGGTTTTTTTTGGGGCCTCAGGTTTTAGGCTGCTTTGGAGTGGAAGAAATTACTACTATCGCCCAGGCTTCGGTACTAGCGTTATAGTCTTGGGTGTGATGTTTCTTTGCCGTCAGTGGGATCATTAAAACTAACTCAAATTCCCGAGCCCTTTGTGACACGCATGTCAGTGTTGTTGTCGTTTTTCGTGAGGGCAGGGTGCTCGGAGCTTTGCGAGCCTCAGGCTCAGAAGCTTTGGATGTGAGGGCAGTTTAGAGTCCTGGCTTTGGGGCCTAGACCTGAGGTTCAGGGAAGTCTACTGACACCCTGTTTAGGGTCAGGGTTTTGGATTTAGGGTTACAAGGCTGCAGATTTCAAGTTCATACTGCGGGAATTCGCACTTCAGGCTGTGAAGAAAAGCTCTTGTTATATGTGTTAGAGCTAGGCTCCTCTAGATCACGCCGCTCAAAGCGAACCTTGAAACACCGCATCTTCTAGAAGAGCGGCGCTAGACGCCTTACAGAACCTATCATTTCCCAAGATCCAAAGCCAACCTGAACTGCAAACCGCATCATCGACCTAAGCTGCACTGGTGCCATTAAACCTAATTAACAGACCTGTTTTCGATGTCCTCCCCCTTGGCAACCCTGAAACCAGAAACGCACAATAAACCCTCGAGAGCCCTTCCCAAAGCCTCTTCCGGCCGAAGGCCTCTCAACGGACAGAAACAGCCTAGACTGCGGGGTTTTTCCTTCACGACGCATCCGCTGCAGGATGTCCCGGCGCCAATTCTGTCCCGAGCTTTCCAAGAACTCTCTCGAGGCTCCGCTTTGGGATTTGCTGGGCTGGGGTGTTTATCGGGTGTTCCAGGGCTCTGAACGGTGTTAACTAGATGTGTTATGGGGTTTACAAGGATGGTCCATGGGTGGAGTCTTTTTTTGGGGTTTAGGTGCCGGGATGTTCGGGCCTTCCATCTAGACTGGTCTCAGGTTTCGGTGTTTTTGAGGCTTGTCTCAGCCTGAGCCCAACTCCCGTCCCAAAAAGGAAGGTTTGAGTCGTTCGGAATCGGTTTGGGGCTCTTTGCTCCGAAGAGTCAGGGAAGGCTCTAGGGCCCAATGTCAAGGCAATTTGGGGACCTCCCCCCGTCTCAAGACGACCTCATGCCCCCAACGCCGACGGCACGGAAGTTCGTACTTGACAGTTCTTGCAGGCTAAATACTCAATGTGCCTAAGAACCGAAAACAAGCCAGTCCGAGGATAGCCGGACAGCCCGGGTGTGCGATGCAGGGACTTCATGCCCTCCAGAAGCACAAACCCAAGCCCCTTCGACCAAAAGGAAGAAGCAGCCTACAAGCAAAGCCGAGGAACCTGCACCTAGACCCTGAACCCGAACTTTGCATCTGAGGCATGGTGAGCGTGACCGATTTGCGGAAGATCCGAGACGTACCCTTTCCCTTCCCATACTCGCAATTCCTCTCCCTCATGTGCCCTCGGCGGCACGAAGTGGAGGGAAAGGGCCTGCACAACCGTTAAACCCTAAGCCCCAAATCCTAAAACCTCAGCGCTAGGTATGAGGTGTGCTTTAAACCCCTGAACCGAAGATGGAAAACCTGAAACCTGGATCCTAAACCCCAACCCTGAACCCTACAAATTCAAGGCCCCAAAGCCAACCAGTCAAACTCAACATGTCAAGCACAGCTGTTCACCGAGGCTCCTGGCGCACTGGGTATTGACTCCCATCGTTGCAAGTCAGGTGCTTTCGGCGGCTTCAGGTCTAGGGTTTATAGGCTTGACGTTTGGGGTTCAAGTTTCTAGTTGGGTTGTGGTTTCGGGACTAGGGCGACTAGGGATGTAGGCCTTACAAAAAAGGCTTAAGCTGCCGTAGGCCTCAGCCGCATTCCTGCTGTCTGATGGCTTTAGTCCACGAGCCGTGAGGGACACGGTCTGTCCTCGGTGCACAGACTCGGGCTTGCTGACATCGGCACTTTATCCGTGCTGGAGCCTGGTAAACTTCAAGCTGCAAGCTTACCTCCAAAGCCGTGAACCTCAAAGCCTTTAAAATAAGGTGATGGGTTGCACGGGCCTTACTATGTCAGAACCTTTTGTGCGAGGCTCGGGTCCCAACATGTCCACTTGATGGAAGCGTACACCCCTGGTATGTTGAAGCCTAATTCAATGATGTAGAGCTTCAACCTCAACCCCTCGACCCTAGGACCCTCTAGAAGCCATGAATCCGGAAACCTCACACCCTAATCCGGTTGTACCGGTAAAGCCCTGAACCCGGAACCAGAACGACACCCGTATAGTTGCAGCAAGATTGTCATAGCAATTTACAGAAAAGCACTGAGCGACAAAACCTCTAGCAGCATCATAGAATTTTTCAACCAAGGATATCAAGGAGGGCAGTCACAACACCCTAGAAGAAACATGAACAGGTGATTGTGAAGCCATACTGGGCTGGGATCATCGTTTTCGTGGTGTCCACTGCCTACTGGACCGGGCTTTCAGGAATTGCGGTTGATGTTGCTTTACTCGGATTTCGGGTTTAAGACTTTGGCTTAGGGTATTTTTTGGTGGGGCCGGGGGGGGGGGGGGGGGTGATGGTGTAGGCTTCTTGGGGCTCATTGGGTGCAGGATGTACGATGTAAGGTCTGGGACTTCGAGCACTTGTTGTAATTCTCTTGTGTCTTCTCAGTGGAGTTCTAGGATTCTAGGGCAATATAGCGAACGTGGGCTGTAATATCTTGGGACGAGCCGTGCTATTTGAGGTTTTCGTGTTTGGGTGTCGGGGTTGGGGTACCGTAGTTTTTTGGTATAAGCGCATCCAGAATCAGAAGGTGGTTCGCAGTTCCCTTCAGCATGATATTGCGACATCATTAGCTCTTGTGGGTACCAGAACCAATCTCCTTCTCCCCCCCGACCCGCAGACCATAAACCCCAAACCCCTACAACACTAGATCCGTAAGCCTGCCCGTAAGCTGTTACTTCAGTGTTGTCTGTCTGCAATTTCGGGCTGAACGTTGGCGTCGAAGGTTGAAGAGGTTTCTCTTAGTGCTCAGGGTTCCCGACTTAGGGTGGGGTTGTAGGGTTTCTGATGTTGAGGGCTTTAGGGATTGGGGTGTATCTTTACTCCCTGCAGGGGCTTAGGGGTTTGGGGTTTCGGGGTGTTCTTGAGAGAAAGAGGAGATGGTGGCAAACACAGGGCTTCTTGCATGCAACTGCAACCCTTTACGACGCCTTTGCGAGATGTGGTGAGTTGCGAAAGCTGAAGCCGCGCTAAACCCTGACCCGCCAACCCCCTGACATCCTGAAAGCCCGAGCCCGGGCCCAAAGCCTTGAACCCCGTTACCTTCACCCCAGGATTCTAAGCTTGCCTGAGCAGGACACTCTTCTACATCGCGCAGGAGATCGATCAGCCTTTCGGCGATGACTCTAATGATCTTCCGGTCGCCGACATGCAAAGAGAGCCTCCCGCCAGGATGTGTTCTACGAGGGTTGAATCGGGGGGTTTGAGGCGTTGAATCATGTAGGGTTAAGGAGTTTAGGGCTGAGAACTTACTGTTTGTTGTTGCTGTTTGTAAGATTACTCGGGGGGGGGGGGGGGCTTTCCG